TAATATCCAAGCAATCAGTCCCGTTTGACCCAAAGAAATAAAAATATTTACTACCTCAAAACCAAACAAATGCTATTAGTGAGTAAATATTGATGATGAAATACTATTTTGGTTATGTAGGTAGGATGTGAATCATTTCAGTACTGGTACAAATATTCTACACTCCTGGACCAAATTACCACTTGATTTTATTATTTCATATAGTTTTCCATGTTATCAATCCAGAGGACAAGAGAATCAGAGATAAGAGAGAGAGAGTACTAACACACTGGGAAATTAACGTCAGGGCATTAACTTTTAAACCATTTCCAAGCTAGCCATGTTCCTAGTTTTTTCTTCCTCCAGACATTTTGCAAGGGTTTCTGGAAGTAATATAATAATAGTGCTAGCGTTTGCTAGGCTTGTGACTTAAAATATGCTTTCTTTTGATTTAAGTATCTAAAAATTGGATCTTTCAAAGTAGCTGTTGTTTGATGTTGAGAATAACTGAATTCTCAATAAATTAAAGTAAAAGTTTGGCATATAAAAATAAAAGCTAATAATTATATTTTTGAAAGTAATTAAAGAACCTAAGGTTTTCCCACCAGGTTTTATTTCCAAATGTTTTAACACACAGCGAACATAATCAGTTACATTAGTCAGTGTCCTTTATTTTAAGTCTCATATCAAAAATTTCTCTCTAAATTGAGAGCTAGGAAAAGAAAAACATGAACTGGTATGATTTTTTTCATCAGATAATTAGAATCACATAATTCATCATGTTTTCCTTTTTGCTATGGCTTCTAGTCAAGCTCAGAGCTCAAACTTGTACTTAACTGAAGCATTTTTTTTAAAGTATGGATTTTCTGATGTGGTTAATATCATTTATTGCTTAATTATTTTCAATAATATTTTACCTGTCTAAGCATGTATTTATCATAAAATGCTGCTTCTCAAATACTTTTTGAAAGTAGCTGGCATATAAAGAAATTAAAATCAAGTATTTTCAATAGAAAAATGCTTAAAAGCCCAGTGTTCAGAACATCCATCTTGTTAAATTCGTCCTTAGGCTATCTTGAAAGAATAAAAGCTAGTGTTAATCCACTGCACATACCCATGCTCAGTTCATTAATGGAGACTTTGATCTTGTACCCAGATTCCCAAATTCATGTGAAATAATATTATTGAGATATAATTTTAAAAATTAAAATGGTTTTCACTTTTTTGAAAAAATTTTTGGTAAACAGAAGGGAGGAAGAAGAGCTTTTCTGAAAACACCACATTTTAGAATCAGTAATAGGTGCAGCCACTTTACTGTGAACCAATATGGCAAAATCAAGGTGATCTGTCCACTATTTTGTAAAAGTTTTTCCTCTTAGAATCATAATTCTCAATTTAGGGAATCCACAAAGGCATTGAGATGCCAATGTCTGGCAGGACCCCTTTTACTAGATACAAAGTCTATATATTCAGATGTCACTATAACCTTCAGGACTGTTGTACCTCATCTGCATTATACTGATGGTAGTTCACAGTGGCAGCTGTGGTCCCCTGACTCCTTGATTTGTCTGTACCTCATAGACAACTGTCCTAAGATGGTGACACCACCTCTGGGGCGAATCACAAAGGTCTCTGTAACAGTCTCAGACACTTTGGCAACAAACATAAAAGATCAAGCATTCTCTAAATGGTTCAGGTCCTAAAAGAACAATGAAGAGATCAAGGAACCTATGTTCTGTTTTTCTTCTAATTCAAAGGGGTAAATTGTAGAAATTCTTTTATTGCATCACAGTTCAGTAGCAAAGCAAGAATTACATGCAGAACTATCATGTTAGAAGTTTCCTAGAAGAATCTTAATAAAAAAAATAAGTTCTCTTTGTATTAAAAACATGATTGGATCAATCCAATCCTTCTTCAAAATAATTTCAAAAAGGGATCTGACAAATGAGAAACTGACGTTGTGAATTTCTGTGTTGATATCTACTAATCTAGATGCTTTTTCTTAAACATTATGACCTTAAGTAGATACCAGACTAAACATGAGGGTGGTAAATTAATGTGCATTTCAGCAAATCACAGCAGTGAAAATCAAGGTATATGACATAAATATAATATATGCATAGAATAATTAGCTAAATGCACCAAATAAAATGAAGGGAATGGTTAATTGCCCTTAGTTGCATTATTATATCTTATCATTTCTTTATAACAGAAATTACTTGAATAACAACCAACCTATATATAGCGTATTCACCAAAAAGTACTTCTTAGTTGATATATATGATTCACCTTATGGTAGGTAACTATATAATAATGATTTGATTATCAATATGCAATATATCAACCCTTTAGAAAGGCCAAAAGTATACCATATATTTAGTATACAATTTTTCACATACTGTATGTACTCAACAATCTGATGGAAGAAAAGCAGCAAACAAAGCCATAGTATCCACGTAGCTATTCCACGGGTCCTCTGTGGTTCAGTATTTCAACTAGTCCTTTCTACAAAATGGCCTCCATTGTTAACGGAAGCAGCCAAACGTGAACTGAAAATCAAACCTCTCTGGAACTAAAATTAAAAGTCAGACAATCCAACATTTAAGACACCTGTGTTTGTTCTGCATCAAACCACAAAATAGTGACTTGAAAAAAGATCTATTTTAAAAAATATATGCCCACTTTGTCTTTTTGAGATCTAGGAATGGAATTCAGGACTGAAAAGGCATTATAAATTAGATTATTTAGAGCACAATCATGACAAGATATATTTGGGAAATTTAGGACTTATCTGAAGGAAACTTTGAAACAATAGCCTCAAAGAATAACCCAAAATAATTGCAAAGCATTATCATTTTTGGCATATATGATAAGATTTTTAAAAATATAACATTGATAAAGTTTTTAAAAAACATATTCTCTAAAATTAACTAATTATGTAACATATTATATAGTAATCCTTTTCATTTTGATCAAGAATGCATTTAGCCCATTTCCATTGCTTCTTAGCATTCCCAGGACAGCAATTCCAATTGTTTCAAGAAAGACGCAAAATATGAGAAACATAATCCTATGTATAATATAGCATTTGAAGAAGTCACATGGTCCTCATACTTAATATTTCAATTAGAAGAAATTCAATTAATAACCTTATTATACTATCCCTTAATTATATGGGACAATTCTAAAATTTCCCTTTTGTTACCATTGGATGGACCGCACCCTATACATGGCAGATACGACATATGCCAAAGTCACAAAGATTTCCATTAAATTTGACTGCCACTTGTGTTGGCTTTCTACAACACCATTAAAATAGTAGTAAGTGATATAAATTAATGGATTTTATTGTATCAATTATTCAATTTTACTTGGCACACAGGCACCACACTGACTCACAACTCTAACATCACACAAGACAATGGTAGACTTAGTATCATCTCTGAAGGAGAAATGAATTTTGAAAATATCCTTAACAAATTGTACGAGTAACAATAAAAATATCAGCATAGATTTTATAAAAGCTGTAATTGGATGGTGGCAGAAATATAATACCCATTTATTTCCTAGGAACTGCCTGAGTATTCTCATACTCTGGCTACTATAATGACTACATACTTAGTCAGCAAACCCCATAAAACAAGTTGAAAATAGTTTTCATGTAAATGTAGATTATTGACACACAAAAAAGGCTGTGCTGAGTATATCTATATTGCCCAGTCATTATCCGAAAGTTAAAGACTCAAGGTCAAATGAAAAATAACCAATAACTCCCATTCTTTGCTTTACTGCCTCCCACCCTCCATTCAAGAAATTAACATGTTTAATCAGTTGTATTTTCATGTTTAGATAATTATAAATTTGTATAAACACATATTAAAACAAATGGAAGGTTTACTTCATTGTTCAAAAATTATATTATTTGGGGAGGAAGAATAACTAGGAAGAAGCTTATGTGTGGTATGGATAATATGGTTAAATTTTAATGGGAAAAGAGCTATTTCAGCTTAGTATATTATATGGTTGTATTAGAAAATAAAATGATCTCTTTATTGTTATCAATTGCTCTTCAATTTTTCTTCAATAAAATTTCACAGCAATCACCTCAAGAGGATACACTAAAGGCCTTTGATTATATACAGGGTGGGGCACAAGTAGGTTTCTAGTTATGAGTACACAAAACACAGTTTATTCTTATATTATTATTTATTAATTACTGTGTTATTTCCCATACAAACTCCTGTAAACCTACTTTTTCCCCACCCTGTATACCCTATAGAATGTATTGCACTACAAAGACACACGCTCAGTAAGAATTTTTTTCATCTGAAATTTATAAAGATAATTTTTCATGCTGACAGTGCACATTTCATCCGTAAGTCTGAAGAGTCAAATGCTACCACAGCTGGGGGTTATTCTGCCAAATGGCTTCCAACAGGGACGACAGAGATGGAGGCTAGGAGGCATGTGTATGTGCACGAAGGAAAAAGCAACAGACCTGATGGGAAACAGCCTTTCGCTGGAGTCATTTTTATCAATTACCATCTGAGGGATCTAATCAGATATAAAGTCTAATGGGGAAAAAGCAACACTAGGAAGCAAAAGCAAATATTAAAACAGCTGCTTGATTACCTACAGAGATTAAAACAAAAAGCAAGGAGTGAGGCTGATATATTACATAGGGATTTGCTAAGGCTGAGGGGAGGGGTAAGGGGCAGATACCTTTAAAAAATCCATCATGAAAGGAACTGAGACAAGATTATAAAAAAGGGGCCAAGTTATAGCACACTATGGGATTTTTAATCTGGCTACCTGTGGTTTCTGTAGTTAAAGCCTTATTCATCCTTAAAACAAGGGCGGGGGGAGGGGGGTGGAGGGAAGAAAACAAAAAAAAAATCACATTTATATGTCAGTTTTGCAAATGATCAAACAGCGTGCGTCAACAAGAATAATAAGAAAACATGAAACGCTGATGACTTTTTAAAAAGATGCCCGTTTTATCAAATATTATTGGTAATTACCTGTGAATCTCGTTTCTTGAACTCTTGAATTTGATTTTCGTGCTCCATATTGGCAGCGCGAAGCTGTTTTTCCAGGTTTTCAATGTCCCGTTCATGGTCTCGGACTAGGCTATCCTTCTCTGCGTTATGCTGCTGTAATAGGTGCGTCTTCTCCTGTTCATGCTCCAGCTTCAGCTCTACTATCTGATTGGACAATGAGGAGGACAGTTCATCAACAGAACATCCTTGTCGTCATGACAACTCATGGACAGCTTAATTTTTCCCTAATTTGACCAAGTTCAAAATTTTATTTTTGCGTCATTATTACCTCACCCTTGAATACTCTCATTTTTGGGGGAGGAGTGGGGAAGGTTTACCCAAATCTCCTAATATTCAAGACAGTTGGGCATATTCAGTAAATCCTTCTGCAATCTGTTGACACAAAATGCCTGAATTTTGGAAAAAAAATTATGTTGAATGCTAGGTATTTCCTCCCCATGAATTTGGGTATTACTGATCAGCAATGGTTATAAATGGTTAATAGTCCGTATGCTTTGCTTTTTGCTTAAATATATAAGCGTATGAGCAGCAATTAAATCGGTCAGTTTTCTTTTTGATTTTTAAATAAAAGATCGGAGCTAAATACGCATCTGGATTATTGTATATACAGTTGTCTTTTTAAAAATAAAATGATAAATTTCAAAGCTCTATTATCTCATTGTCAGCTACGGTATACCAACATAAACAGATGTTATGTGTTCCAGAAGGGCACCTGCTGTGCTGCAAGCTTGCGCCATGATTTCATAAAAAGCATTCTATTCTCAGGATCCTTTCCCAGTCCACTCCACACTGGAGACTGTGACCTTGGCCAGTCTGAGCCTCTCCCTGCAAGACTGAATGGCAGCCAGAGACCAAGGGCCTGGTTGCCGCAGCTTTGATATTAATCCTCCCAGACTGTGCACAATGGCACCCTACCTGGCCTGCAAACTATAGCCAGCCAGGCTGTCTTTGAAGCAGGTGATGAATAGGGGACTGCAGGAAGCCAGCTTCCCCAGTGAACTCCAGGCCACACAGCTGCTAAGAACAGTCACTTGGATTTTTCTTCAGTTTTGGTGGATTTCAGTGGAAAAAACTGCTGTTATCTAGAATATGTTGTGTTATTTTCGGCGTGAGAATCCATCTTCAAAAAAGCTAACAGTAGGAGCCTGCTCCAAACCGTTTCGTGCAATGAATCACCAGACTACCATATCTTAAAGCTATAGCATTCATTTCTCCAGACACGCATGCTGCAGTCAATTTCAGAAGTTATTTTCCTTTAAGATTTAGAAGTCTTATCCTCTATTTGCAAATTAAGACTCAAAACACAAATTAAATTTACTTTTAATTTAAACAACAGGTTTCAAATTTTTTTCTGATAATGATCTTTCTTAGAGAACTGAAAAATCAACCATAAATTTCTGACCACTCATAAATTATGCTATTTAGAAGAAAGAACAGTATTCAAATTCTTGAATATAGACACTTATCAGAACAAAACAATGTATAAAATATGAAAAAAATTATTTTGTATCTGAAAATAAAGATGCGCTCTAGCCCTGACTGCTTTGGCTCAGTGGATAGAGCGTCGGCCTACAGACTGAAGGTTCTCAGGTTCGATTCCGGTCAAGGGCATAAGAAGAAAAAAAAAAGAATAAATAAATAAATAAAAAGATGCATTCTAGTGAATTTATATTTATTTAAAATGTAGGAATCTTCAATATTATTCTACTTCTGGCACTTTTTTCCTTAAACACTATTATCAAGTAGTAAAGAAATGTTTCTTTGATTATTTAACATAAATTGAGCCCTAGCTGGTTTTGCTCAGTGGATATAGCATCAGCCTGAAGACGGAAGGGTCCCAGGTTTGACTCCAGTCAAGGGCACATGCCCAGGTTGCGGACTCGATCCCCAGTGTGAGGCGTGCAAGAGGCAGCCAATCAATAATTCTCTCTCATCATTGATGTTTCTATCTCCCTCTCCCTGCCTCTCTGAAATCAATAAAAATATGTAAAAAATGAAATAAAATAAATTGACATGTTTTATCCTATAGTTCATACAACTACAATGTTAATCACAACAAAAGAGAGAATTTAAAAAGGTATTTATATTACTGCACTTTTTTCAGGCAGCCAAGTGTATGAATTATGGAGTAAAGATATTTTTAGTTCTTACACATTATTTTTACTTGGCATTATGTTATCAAGCATCATTATATCAAAATTATAAATTTTACTGAAAATCATTTAAGTATGTAATACACGGAAAGGAAATAGAAGGAGGTGGAAAGTTTCACTTAGATCTCAAACGCCTCAGAAAAACCATGAGAATGGGTATGATTTAAAATTGATAGCAAAACATTTTATAATACTCTAGGGAAAAGTAACAATTGACCTATAATTAAGGCAGAAGAATTTTTTGCCCCAAGAAAAGACACATGACCAGAAACCACTGTGAGGGTGGTAGTAATGGTGCCACCTTGCTCCAGGCTCTGGGAATAATGCATTTTCAGAGTAACTTTCTGAGTCATTTAGACTTCTTTCTGATAGACTGATCAATGACCCTGCCCATATTCAAATTTGAATTCATTCTAAAAAATCAGGAGCAAATGAAATAGATAATGGAATTTCAAACCCAAACATAAACGTCCATAAATTATTTGTTTGTTCTTTTGTTATGACATGTTGCTCAGTGATGCTAATGAATAAATCTCAAAGCTGCTGGAGTCTTTTAAAGTGAAATAGCCAGGCTTGCCTGCTTGATCCCACACTGCTTGGCCAACTTCTAGATGTTATGAACCCTTTCTGGTCTTTGCCTAGGCTTCTTCACTGTCAGTATCTTCTGACAGGTGTGTCTTCTGATAACTGGCAGAGCCCAGGAGAAAAACCCTAATGTTCTGGAAACATTTTGATGATAGATTTCTAACCACAAATGCCATGATGAAGGTGGATCTATGACTAAATTCAAGGTTTCACTTGTTCCTAGTCCCTTTTAGGTAAGAAAATAGTAAAAGGATTCTTGGATTTTCCAGTTTGGTCCTTTGCTTATGGGCACATCTGAAGGGTAAACAGAAAGTAGCATATCCTCCTTACCTGGGACTATACCATTTTTGGTTGACCGACAGCAATTTCTAATGGAGGTAATGGTGACCAGGAGGTGGTAAATCACGGAAAATGTAGAGGATGTAAAAGTACACAGCATCCACAAGGATGAATGCTGAGTGGTCAATGTGCTCTCTAAGTCAAGGTGGTCCAAAATCTATATGTACTACAGGGGAAATATGATACACCATCACCAAGGAACCTGCTTAATTAATGCTGGCTAAAGTTATCCATGTAATACAGGAGGAAAAGCTTCAAGTTCCCTAATCCAAAAGCACTGAGCTGTAGACCAGGTAATTATATGTGTAGTGCACACTCTACAGGTACTAAAACAGACTGGCATGTCTTCCAGGGTCAAGGAAAGTGATCAGCCCTCACTTGCAAGCATCTGCTAGCATCTGGCAGTCCCTTGAGTTACTCAGTTTGATGGCGTGGTGGTCGCGGTTTGGGTGAGAAAATGGCTTTATTGTCCAGAAACTACTAGGTTGACTCACATGTAATTACCCTTTTTGTAGGTTAAATAGGAGATGAATAAGTGTCCTGCTCCATCTACTATGGAACCCATCACACACTCTGAAAGCAAGGTTCAAGAGTAAAGTGTTGGAGTTCTGAAATTCCTGCAAGCACAGCTCTCTATCCCAGACTAAATCATTCTGCAGTCTGATGATGATGATGTTCCCACTCCAACAAAGGCTTCCCGGGAGTGCCAAAGGCAGGAGCACATTCCAGGCCCAGAGAGAGACCAAGTGGGAACTGCTAGATATCCAAGTCAATGGGGGGCTTGGAATATATAAGTCCTGGTAGCTGTTTTACAATAAATTAGCACTAGCAAATCGGCCTGAATGCCTTTTAATAATCTTATAAAGAAAAAGACAAAGGGGATAAAATAAGTCATTAATTCTCAGTACACAACACACAGACCAACACATCCCAATGATACACCTCAATGTCAGAAATTCTAAAACCAGAAACAAATTAGAGAAGTTCCAGAATGCACCTAACACATTAAAAAGGAGAAATTATGGTGCAAAATACTACCTAAAATAACCTCATATGTAACTAAATGATAAAATCTGTATTCTACAAGCCTTGGTCTAGAGGGGTAAAGCCCTAGTGAATGTAAATATAAAAGTTGAAGAGTTTGGAGTGATTTAGAGGCTACCTAGTACAACAGTCATCTTTTTTAAACATTTTTTTATTGATTTCAGAGAGGAAGGGAGAAGGAAAAAGAGATAGAAACATCAATGATGACAGAGAATCACTGATTGGCTGCCTCCTGCAACCCCACACAGGGGATCAAGTCCATAACCCAGGCATGTGCCCTCACCAAGAATTGAACCATGACCTCCTGGTTCCTAGGTTGATGCTCAACTCCTGAACACAGGCTGGGCTACAACATTAATCTTAATCAGGAATCTTCCCTGTCACACTGACAGCTGGTCACTCAGCTGCTGCAGCACTGGTTTTAGCACAAAGGGAATAACTGGTCCAAGGCAACCTTATGCCTCATACTGAACATGCCTGGCACTGGAACTCCTGGGTACAGACAGCAGGAAAAGCTGAAAACTGTAAAAAGAAAAACAAATGTTAAAACACACACACACACACACACACACACACACACACACACACACACACACACGCTCACTGACAGCAGTCAAACAAGGAAAGAGGAATATCATGAATATCACCTTTGCCATAAATTTCAGAATGCATTGGTTAAGAAACGAAAGAGAAGGTTCTGACATGGTTTGGTGAGATCTACTATTTTGTCTCCATCCCCTGGAGGTAGAGCTGCTAAGCTGAAATAATGCTGGGGAATATTCTTTAATACCCCAGTTTTGTAGAGAAATAGACTAAACATCAATCATTCCCTTTCCCTGTTGCAAAATAATAACCATGTATGTGCCCTGATGGAGAATAGGAGGGTAATTGCATGGGGTAGAAATGGCTGATTGACAGAAATGAATTAAGCTAGGAAAGTGAAAAACTGGGGCTTATTCTTCCTGATAGAATCATCAGCTTCAAAATTCCCATAAGAAAAGGGAAAGTCCTTCAATACAGAGC